TTAATTTCATCCCAAATCAAACCCTAAATTCACTTCTCTCCCTCACCGTCACTGGCGACTTGATGGAGCACCGTCCCCCATAGCAACAGCCTCTCTCTCTCTCTCTCTCTCTCTACATTTCTCCCCCAACTCCCAACCCTGTCGCCTTCCGTAGATTTATGCAACTTCGAAATCTTGTATCCCTATTTCCTTTTACGTGGAAGTGTAAAATTCTTTGCTTTTCTACATTCATAGATTTTCCCGCATAAAGATTATATTTTTTTTCTTATTCTCTGTTTCTAGATCGCTGCTTTGATTATTTCAAGATTCAATTGGTTTCTGAAAATCATAATTTGTTTAATTTTTGTATTCAATTCTAACTCCCAGTTTTTTGGGTTTTTAAGTTATTTGTGTGATATATTGAAGGTTTTGCGAACCTTGAAGTGTTGTACATGTGATGGATGATAACAATTTGATGGATGATAATTTGGCGGATCTTGACTTAAACCATGAACCCTTGGACCCGCCTGTGAATTCAGATGCGAGATTTAGATCTATGTTGAATGAGTTGGAAACTACACATGGTAGGATAGAGGAAAGGATTCGACAGCTTGAAGCTGTCACTAGTTGTACTAGGCAGCGCTGGAGGTGGCACCAATTGCGTAATTCTGTGGATATGAGTGATGTTTCAGGAGATCATGTGGTTAATGTGGATGGTGAGAGAGGTGGTTGGTGGTTGTCAAGTTTGCTGTGGGTGGTGGTGGTTGGCGGTGTTTTGTGCGGCGACGATTCTATGGTTGTAACTGTGGTAGCGGATCTTGTGGTTTTGGAAATGGAGATGTTACTACTGATTATCGTGGTGTTTGGACGGTGGTGGTTGTCGTGGTGGCAGTGGTAGTGGTCGTAGTGATAGTGTAGAAATGGTGGTGGTGGATCTGGTTATTTTGATTTTCTATGATAAAAATATAATTTGTGACCTTAAAATTCAATAACCTGTTATTAAAAATATAATCCGTGACCAACATTTCGTTGTCTGTGACCTAAAAATTATATAATCTGTAACCATGAAAAAATCTGTAGCCAAATAATTTGAAAATATGTGTTCTTGTGATCTTCTATGACTAAAAGTATAATCTGTGACCTTAAAATTCGGTAATCTGTTATTAAAAAATAATTCGTGGTCAATCATTTAGTTATATGTGATCTAAAAATTATATAATCTGTGACCGTGAAAAAATATGTGATCAACTAATTTGGAAGTCTGTGACCTTGTGACCTTTAAAAATGTTATGACCAAAAATCAATATTAACAGGTCACATGTGTTTATAGAGTCACAGTTCAAAAATAAAGGTTACATTTAACGGAATAGTCGTCAGAACGATAATCGACATAGTCGCCAGAATAGTTGACGGAATTGGAGTAGTCCTCGAAACGGTCGTCAGAATCGGAGAAATCACCGGAACATTCGCCGGACGATTGTCTGAGCGGTAGGGTGGTGGAGATGGGGTGGTTAATTATATTATATACATATCTTTTTATATATTTATATATATAAATATATATGTATGTATATATCAAATATCTTATTTTTAAAACTTAAAAGTTGTTTTCTTATTTTTGAAATTGTGTATAATTAAAGTAGAATTTATGAATTTTTCCCTTAAAAAAATGAAAAAGAATAACGGTTAGCCCACCTCACAAAAACTCAAGCCCAACATAATTTTAAATTTAAAGTGTGTTTGAATCACATTATTTTGGAAGTATGTATGTTGGAATAGTAAATTGATGGAGAATGTGTGGTTGAAAAAAAAAAGAAAAGTTATTGATATGATGAAAAATATTATTTTATTAAAAATGTGTTGTTAAAAATGAGTAGAGTAATGGGAATGAAAATGAAACTTTTAATGTGTGTAAAAGAGGAGCATTGTCTATTTAAATTATCATTTTAGCATTCTTGATAGAAGCTATCGATATTAAAAGAGTTTTCGGTAGTAATATATTTATTTACGTTCATATAATTTTTTCATTAAAACTATAAACTATTTTCGTTCTTAAAAACTAGATACTTAAAAAACAAGTATAGACATAAGCCTAAGTGTGAGTTATTGATAAAATGTTTTGCCATGATAGTAAGTGCAAATTAACAGTTGATCGATACGCTTAGGCACACTTTATTATTTAACTTTTTCCTTTTTTTAATACCTTTTATTTGACTTTAATTTATTCGCTTATTCATTTTTTATTATTTGTTCTTTTTTTAAAAGACTATTACTTATTTTCGTTTAAAATTTTTAAATGACTTTATTAGTATAGAAGTAAGAAAATGACTTTAATTGAAAAAATTTATATAAAATTTAAAATATGATATTATTCCAAAAATTATAATCTCAAGTTAGGGGCTAAATCCACCCTTAATGCCAATATAAAATTGTTCAAAATTGCTTTCATTGCGTGTAATTGCACGCGCCAGGAACGAGGACTCTCTAATATCCCCCATAAAGAGCGCGAGTCACCGAATTACTGAAAGCCGAGCCGAGAGGTCGACCAAATACCACTGCGTGACGCATAACATGACGTCAGTTCCTTAATCAGTTATTTGACGGGCGCTATTGACACGTGAGATTGGATTATCTTCCATTTTGACCTGACGTGGCAAACGCGGTACGGTTGACCGACTTACTCTCTCCTCCTTTGAAACTAAAAAGACCAACTAACTACCTGGCACTTTCTATTAATTTAAATAAAAAAAGATATGTATTAATTTAATTAAAGCATGGTTACCAAACGGTGCCTTAAAGTGTGTTTGAACCACATTATTTTGGAAGGATGTATGTTGGAATAGTAAATTGATGGAGAATGTGTGGTTGAAAAAAACGAAAAGTTATTGATATGATGAAAAATATTATTTTATTGAAAATGTGTTGTTAAAAATGAGTAGAGTAATGAGAATGAAAATGAAACTTTTAATGTGTGTAAAAGAGGAGCGTTGTCTATTTAAATTATCATTTTAGCATTCTTGATAGAAGCTATTGATATTAAAAGAGTTTTCGGTAGTAATATATTTATTTACGTTCATATAATTTTTTCATTAAAACTATAAACTATTTTCGTTCTTAAAAACTAGATATTTAAAAAACAAGTATAGACATAAGCCTAAGTGTGAGTTATTGATAAAATGTTTTGCCATGATAGTAAGCGCAAATTAACAGTTGATCGATACGCTTAGGTACACTTTATTATTTAACTTTTTCCTTTTTTTAATACCTTTTATTTGACTTTAATTTATTCGCTTATTCATTTTTTATTATTTGTTCTTTTTTTAAAAGACTATTACTTATTTTGGTTTAAAATTTTTAAATGACTTTATTAGTATAGAAGTAAGAAATGACTTTAATTGAAAAATTTTATATAAAATTTAAAATATGATATTATTCCAAAAATTGTAATCTCAAGTTAGGGGCTAAATCCACCCTTAATGCCAATATAAAATTGTTCAAAATTGCTTTCATTGCGTGTAATTGCACGCGCCAGGAACGAGGACTCTCTAATATCCCCCATAAAGAGCCCGAGTCACGGAATTACTGAAAGCCCAGCCGAGCGGTCGACCAAATACCACTGCGTGACGCATAACATGACGTCAGTTCCTTAATCAGTTATTTGACGGGCGGTTAAGATTAATAAAAATCAAAAGCTATTGACACGTGAGATTGGATTATCTTCCATTTTGACCTGACGTGGCAAACGCGGTACGGTTGACCGACTTACCCTCTCCTCCTTTGAAACTAAAAAGACCAACTAACTACCTGGCACTTTCTATTAATTTAAATAAAAAATGATATGTATTAATTTAATTAAAGCATTTGTTTCAAATTATAAGAATCACATGTCTGAATTATTTATGTCTGAATTATTTAAAAGCCATGAATGCATGTTCACATTGAACGTGAACAGAAGATGTTCACATTATAAGAATATGTCTTTATTTTTTAAAGGTTGAACTTCAATCTTAAGGGTCTTGTCCTGTTCTTAGAGTATCGCGGGATGTGCCTTATCATGATATGGTACAAGAGCTGACATACTGATACCCACAAAGAGTCTAATTCCATTTCTTGTAAGAGGCGAGAATCGAATTCTCACACTGCGACTGTCAGTGCAACTGAAACTACTTCACTCATATCATTTACACCACTGAACTATGTCCCGAATGGCTATATGGCTTCATTTTTTATCAAGGAATAACTTTTTTCTTAAAAAAAAAGGGGTAACAGACATAGATTCGAGTTGCAAAAAATTACTGTATTGGATATTTTAAATAGTATTGTAGAAATTAAGAAAATC